GAGGTGGAAATTCAGCAATTAATTCAAGATAATGCTCGCTCAGAGGATTTGATCATTTACACAGACAATTCAGTGTTAAGAGGCAAAAGAAGTGCTTGGGGTTTCTTAGCAAAAGTTAATGGTCGACGTTTGGTGCAAGAGAGCCTTGCATATGATACCACAACATCCAGTTTAAGAATGGAGGTGGAGGCGGTCACTGCAGCTTTCCACTGGCTAGAGAACACGACACACGCACACATCATGAGGAATATCAGAACAGGTATGCTTCGTGCAGAGTGGCATGCTTTGCTGCGGAGGACACGTCTGAGGAGTATTGTCTGGATTTGTTAACCGGGGTACGCCGGTGTGTTGGGGAATGAACCGGCGGACAGACTGGCTGGCTCTGCACAACTTGGTGGAATACTGATACATGATAAGGCAGACGTGGTTAGTGCCTTGCGGAAGAGCGTGTACAGTTCGGAGGAGCAGATGGATCACCACAGTCTGGTGAGATTGATGCAGTGGGGAGTGACGAGAGGTTCTGGCAGATACTCGAGGCTCAGTGGAAAGGCAAGACGGACGTTTAGTCAGAATGCTACTGGCACCATTAGTATCGGAACTCTTCGCTGGCTGCTGAAGATGGGGACGGAGCACTTATGGGAATGCCCCGAGTGCTGTGATGTCGGTTCTTGAATCAAATTAAATCGAAATCCCTGTGTTCTTTGTTTATGTTAATAATTTCCTCCTCATTATTTTTTTGATTTGTTAATGTTTATATAAACTTTTCTAATGTCATTAGCTTGTTAATTTGTATCTACTTCTCATTATATTCTTGGTTTGTTTTTGTTGTATTTTTTGTTCATTATTTTATTCTTTGTTTTGATTGATGCAACATTGAAATGCACATTTTTTCTTTGTACCTCTTTCACAAGCATTTATATTTTCAAACAGAAGTTGATCAACTTTGTGAAGTTCACTTTCTACCATAGTTCAGAAACATAAAGACAATCAAATACACAGGGTTTGGAGAAAATTGCCAATGAAAAGAGTGTTAACAGAGATAATATTAAAAAAAAAAAAAAGATAGTTTGACTGCATTAGGTCTTTCAGTCACAACCAACACAAGATGTGTAATTAGTGTCCAAAACATCATGTCGCACACCTTAATTTTTACCTTTAGCCAAGGTATACTTAAAATTCTGGTTACCTCAGTAGCAATTTCCATGCACTGTGCAGTGTTTTTAATTAAAACAATAAAGATATGTTTGCAAAACCTCCTAGAGCTTTTATAAAAACCATGCTCGAGGGAACAGTTGTAGATAGGCAAAAAGAGTTGGATGCAACAGCTGCAACAGGCAAGCAAGAATTAGGCACAACAGGCAAACAAGAGTTAGGCCCAACAGGCAAGCAAACGTTAGACACAACAGCATTTACAGGCAAGCAAGAGTAAGACACAACAGCAGCAACAGGCAAGCAAGAGTTAGACACAACAGCAGCAACAGGCAAGCAAGAGTTAGACACAACAGCAGCAACAGGCAAGCAAGAGTTAGACACAACAGCAGCAACAGGCAAGCAAGAGTTAGACACAACAGCAGCAACAGGCAAGCAAGAGTTAGACACAACAGCAGCAACAGGCAAGCAAGAGTTAGACACAACAGCAGCAACAGGCAAGCAAGAGTTAGACACAACAGCAGCAACAGGCAAGCAAGAGACAGATACAACAGCAGCAACAGGCAAGCAAGAGTTAGACACCACAACAGCAGCAACAGGCAAGCAAGAGTTAGACACCACAACAGCAGCAACAGGCAAGCAAGAGTTAGACACAACAGCAGCAACAGGCAAGCAAGAGTTAGACACAACAGCAGCAACAGGCAAGCAAGAGTTAGACACAACAGCAGCAACAGGCAAGCAAGAGTTAGACACCACAACAGCAGCAACAGGCAAGCAAGAGTTAGACACAACAGCAGCAACAGGCAAGCAAGAGACAGATACAACAGCAGCAACAGGCAAGCAAGAGTTAGACACAACAGCAGCAACAGGCAAGCAAGAGTTAGGCACAACAGGCAAGCAAGAGTTAGACACAACAGCAACAGGCAAGCAAGAGTTAGACACAACAGCAGCAACAGGCAAGCAAGAGTTAGACACAACAGCAGCAACAGGCAAGCAAGAGTTAGACACCACAACAGCAGCAACAGGCAAGCAAGAGTTAGACACAACAGCAGCAACAGGCAAGCAAGAGACAGATACAACAGCAGCAACAGGCAAGCAAGAGTTAGACACAACAGGCAAGCAAGAGTTAGACACAACAGCAACAGGCAAGCAAGAGTTAGACACAACAGCAACAGGCAAGCAAGAGTTAGACACAACAGGCAAGCAAGAGTTAGACACAACAGGCAAGCAAGAGTTAAACACAACAGGCAAGCAAGAGTTAGACACAACACGCAAGCAAGAGTTAAACACAACAGGCAAGCAAGAGTTAGACACAACAGCAGCAACAGGCAAGCAAGAGTTAGGCACAACAGGCAAGCAAGAGTTAGACACAACAGCAACAGGCAAGCAAGAGTTAGACACAACAACAGCAGCAACAGGCAAGCAAGAGTTAGAAACAACAGCAGCAACAGGCAAGCAAGAGTTAGACACCACAACAGCAGCAACAGGCAAGCAAGAGTTAGACACAACAGCAGCAACAGGCAAGCAAGAGTTAGACACCACAACAGCAGCAACAGGCAAGCAAGAGTTAGACACAACAGCAGCAACAGGCAAGCAAGAGTTAGACACAACAGGCAAGCAAGAGTTAAACACAACAGGCAAGCAAGAGTTAGACACAACAGGCAAGCAAGAGTTAGACACAACAGCAGCAACAGGCAAGCAAGAGTTAGACACAACAGGCAAGCAAGAGTTAAACACAACACGCAAGCAAGAGTTAAACACAACAGGCAAGCAAGAGTTAGACACAACAGGCAAGCAAGAGTTAGACACAACAGGCAAGCAAGAGTTAGACACAACAGGCAAGCAAGAGTTAGTCACAACAGGCAAGCAAGAGTTAGACACAACAGGCAAGCAAGAGTTAGACACAACAGGCAAGCAAGAGTTAGACACAACAGCAGCAACAGGCAAGCAAGAGTTAGGCACAACAGGCAAGCAAGAGTTAGACACAACAGGCAAGCAAGAGTTAGACACAACACGCAAGCAAGAGTTAAACACAACAGGCAAGCAAGAGTTAGACACAACAGGCAAGCAAGAGTTAGACACAACACGCAAGCAAGAGTTAAACACAACAGGCAAGCAAGAGTTAGACACAACAGCAGCAACAGGCAAGCAAGAGTTAGGCACAACAGCAGCAACAGGCAAGCAAGAGTTAGACACAACACGCAAGCAAGAGTTAAACACAACAGGCAAGCAAGAGTTAGACACAACACGCAAGCAAGAGTTAGACACAACAGGCAAGCAAGAGTTAGACACAACACGCAAGCAAGAGTTAAACACAACAGGCAAGCAAGAGTTAGACACAACACGCAAGCAAGAGTTAAACACAACAGGCAAGCAAGAGTTAGACACAACACGCAAGCAAGAGTTAAACACAACAGGCAAGCAAGAGTTAGACACAACACGCAAGCAAGAGTTAAACGCAACAGGCAAGCAAGAGTTAGACACAACACGCAAGCAAGAGTTAAACACAACAGGCAAGCAAGAGTTAGACACAACAGCAGCAACAGGCAAGCAAGAGTTAGGCACAACAGGCAAGCAAGAGTTAGACACAACAGGCAAGTGAGAGTTAGGCACAACATGCAAGTGAGAGTTAGTCACAACAGCAGCACCAGGCAAGCAAGAGTTAGACACAACAGGCAAGCAAGAGTTAGTCACAACAGCAGCACCAGGCAAGCAAGAGTTAGGCACAACAGCAGCAGCAACAGGCAAGCAAGAGTTAGACACCACAACAGCAGCAACAGGCAAGCAAGAGTTAGGCGCAACAGCAGCAACAGGCAAGCAAGAGTTAGACACAACAGCAGCAACAGGCAAGCAAGAGACAGATACAACAGCAGCAAAGGGCAAGCAAGAGTTAGACACAACAGCAGCAGCAACAGGCAAGCAAGAGTTAGACACCACAACAGCAGCAACAGGCAAGTAAGAGTTAGACACAACAGCAGCAACAGGCAAGCAAGAGTTAGACACAACAGCAGCAACAGGCAAGCAAGAGTTACACACCACAACAGCAGCAACAGGCAAGCAAGAGTTAGACACCACAACAGCAGCAACAGGCAAGCAAGAGTTAGACACCACAACAGCAACAGGCAAGCAAGAGTTAGACACCACAACAGCAACAGGCAAGCAAGAGTTAGACACCACAACAGCAGCAACAGGCAAGCAAGAGTTAGGCGCAACAGCAACAGGCAAGCAAGAGTTAGACACAACAGCAGCAACAGGCAAGCAAGAGTTAGACACAACAGCAGCAACAGGCAAGCAAGAGTTAGACACCACAACAGCAGCAACAGGCAAGCAAGAGTTAGGCGCAACAGCAACAGGCAAGCAAGAGTTAGACACAACAGCAGCAACAGGCAAGCAAGAGTTAGACACCACAATAACAACAGGCAAGCAAGAGTTAGACACAACAGCGGCCACACTTATCTGAGAGATTTCCCCACTAGATCAAGAGATAGAGGGTTTTAGGGATCTATTGTAGCCAAAATTCACTGGAGAGATGGCACAAGTGTCTTCATCTTTATAAAATGTTGTATTGAGGTTTACAGCTAGGCTGTGATACCTGCACCTTTCCTCACAAAACATCTGATCTCACCAAACCCCTAAATAGTCATCGTTTACAAAATGCTACTTATAGGGCACTGGGTATATCCCCCCCCCCTCCTCCCTTTCCCCAAAGAAACCAGCAGCAAAACATACTTTTGGAGGCATACAACTGAGTGTTAAAACAGTTTATGTTTATTTCTCTTAAAACAGATACCTATGCTGTTCATTGTAGTGAGTAAGTCACATTGCTCTTCCATCTGAACATTTACAACAAATCAGATCCATTTTCTTGCAGAGTTGTACAAGAATGACTGTTTGCCAACCCGAGATGGTCGGTAGTGAGCTGAAATGGGAATTATTTTGTGTAGTTGTTATTAGAATTTATATGTTATATACATTTACGTCAATATTCCATACAAGATATATATATATATATATATATATATGGTTTAGCAGCTAGATGCTCACCTGGGGGTTCGGGTCCTAACCGAGCTGGACTTTTTTCAAAAATGACATTGGCTCCCTGGTCGACCCAGCCTTGAGTGGGTACCAGGTACAGTCCTGGGAAGTAAAGGTGACCTGCGTGATGCTGACCACAACATCCACTTAGTGCCAACTGGTCTATAAAATATAGGTCTAGCCCTATATGCCGGATACGCCTGAAGACGTGGAAAAAAGTTCTTTACTTTTACTATATAATCTTGTCCCTCTCCACTGTATGCAATTATCCAAGTCGTCCCTATGTGGGATGCAATTTTTCATTTTTTGAAGCCCAACCCTGGCTTTTGCATGGGGGCACTGAATATAGCTGGGCCACAATTGTGGCCATAACGGCTGAAAGAGGTTTCTGGGACCTCTCCACAGGTGATTCTCATCCACATGGTGGCACTTTGTGTCACCAGGTGTTTATCGCTTATGTGATGTCCTGGTGGGGTACAACAAGCAAGCTCTCTATGTCTGCCCTTTTTTCTGTCTTCATCTCTATCACTCAAACTTTCGTCTCTTTCTTCTTTTATGCCTCCTTTTGAGAAATAATTTCTCAGTAACATCCAAGTTTAAAAGCTGTGATTTTATTTAGTGATTTCAAAATGGTCCATGAAGCACATCCATATGCTTGCACAAGAAAGGTGGATTTTCACAATAAGTTTGATATGTTTGCTGGTAAGGGAGCCAGGTGGTCTTGAGGCTTGGTGTCCGCCTCGAGTGCTAGAGGTTCTGGTTTTAATTCACTGTAAGAGCTGGGATTTTGTCACGCAGACTTGGACTTCTAGTTATTTCCCCTTGGTCCCTAGGTAGTGAGATCAGACGCCTGTGTGCATTGTTACGCACGTTTAAACAAATCCCTTGAAGTTGGAAACGAAAAGAGTAGCCTAACAGTGCTGCCCGAGCAAAATGTGGAGTTGAAAATTGACTTAAGGTTTTTCAGGATTCTCGCTGGTGCCACAGACCCTGTGTACTGTGCTGAGCTTCTTCGGACTCAGACTTGAGTTAGAAGAGGAACGGAGCACTTATGGGTTACTACCCATGTGCCATGATGTTGATCCGTTGTTCAAGCTTGCAACATTTGCTGGTGTTGTGCTGTAAGCTGCTGATGCTGTTTAACCTCTGCACAATGATCTCATCTTGTTCCTTTTTGTGATTTGTTGTCTCAAGGAGGATTCCTCTTCTCAGCATTCTTGGACTTTGGTCTTGTTACAGAACTTTGGTTTAGCTTGCACAACTGTTTTACCGATCTGGCTTTTTTTGTATGCAGACTTTTGGTTCAATGATGTATTATAGCATTCTAGGCAATTCCATTCATATCAATTAATCAGCTGATGATGATGATGTCTCATTAATGAATATTGGCCACAATGTATCTCTAACATTCTCTGTCTTTTGTCCTGATTTATACAATACTGTTGCAGAGTACTGAGTTGAGTTGATTTAAGAACCGACATCACAGCACTCAGGGCATTCTCATAAGCGCTCTGTCCCCATCTTCAGCAGCCAGCGAAGAGTTCCGATACTAATGGTGTCAGTAGCATTCTGATTAAACGTCTGTCTTGCCTTTCCTCTGAGCCTTGAGCATCTGCCAGAACCTCTCATCACTCCCACCTGCATCAATCTCACCAGACCGTGGTGATCCATCTGCTCCTCCTAACTGGACACGCTCTCCAACAAGGCACTAACCATGTCTGCTTTATCATGCATCAGTATTCCACCAGGTTGTGCAGAGCCAGCCAGTCTGTCCTTTTGTTCATTCCCCAACACACCGGTGTGTCCCAGCATGTTGCAGAGTACTGTTCATTGCAAACATCTGAGCACATACTGCAGAACTGCCCTCTATAGCAAAACCTGCAACACGTGGTCAGAAGGAAGACCCATCTAGGACAAACTTTGTGGATACCTTGGAAACTTGCTGCTGACATGCAGTTTTATACAGGCAACACAACATATAACATAAGCATTTGAAACCAATCACAATGAAGAATATATTCTCCTGCATGTATCGCTGTCTACCTTTTGCTTGCCTATGTTTAATATTTTCCTCAGGCGTGGCTTTTTTTTAAAGAGTGTTATGTTTTTTAATGTGACCAAAATAAATAAATATTCGAGCATCTTTCAAAAATGTTATTTCACTGTGGATTCATCTAGCATTCTTTCACAGATCTTCTTTAAAATGTCTACCTTTCCAAACATGAGAGTTCAGATCACAGGCATTCCTGAAGCAAATAAATCTGCTTGCTCATTATTTCATACAAAGACATTCTCTGAAACTTGTGTGCTGTCTCATTACCTCACTCTGTCCCATGCAGTTATTTCTTGTACAAGGTGAGTTGAGTTGAGTTGATTCAAGAAACAACACAACAGCACTCCAATAACAATGCTGCCAACAGCATTCTGATTATACGTTCATCTTGCCTTTTCTCTGAACATCAAGTATCAACCAGATCCCCTCATCATCCCCCCCTACCCCACCCCCGCTGCATCACTCTCACCAGACTGTGGTGATCTATTTGCTCCTCTGACTTTTACACGTTCTCCCACAAGGCCCTAACCATGTCTGCCTTATCATGTATCAACATTCCACCAAGTTGTGCAGTGCCAACCAGTCTGTCTGCCTGTTCATTTGCCAGCTCTCTGGCATACCACGGAGAAAAATATCCAGACAATGCTCCTCTCCCGTGACATTTGAAGCAAAGCATGCTACTCAGCATGAAGCATTCCTATCCTCACCTTCCTCAGCATGCTTTCTGAGTCAGTTACAATCAGGATGTGTGTGTGTGTCGTGTGTGTCATGTTCTCCAGCCAACAGAAAGCTGCAGTGACTGCCTCCACCTCCATTCTTAGGCTGGATGTTGTAGTATCACATGCTAGGTTCTCCTGCACCAAACATCGACCATTGCCTCATGCTAAGAACCCCCAAGCACTTGCTTTGCCTCTTGACACTGAACCATCTGTATAAATAATTACATTACACCAAACATCAACCATTGCCTCATGCTAAGAACCCCCAAGCACTTGCTTTGCCTCTTGACACTGAACCATCTGTATAAATAATTACATTACACCAAACATCGACCATTGCCTCATGCTAAGAACCCCCTAGCACTTGCTTTGCCTCTTGACACTGAACCATCTGTATAAATAATCACATTCTGTGAACGAGCATTTTCTTGCATTAATTGCTGAATGTCTATCTGCACAGCACCTGCTGGGTTCTCCCTGCACCTGCAGATACCAGCTGTACACGGTCTGCTCCAAGAAGTTTAATCTACAACTATTTTAATGTCTGAGTCTGAAAAAGGTTACCAAAGAGACACCATTAGACATCAGTGGTTGAACAAACATCTTGGCTGGAATAGGTTAATTTAACACTTTTTATGATGTTATAAACAAGAGCAGTATATTATCACTTGGATAACAAACGAAGGTATGGTGTGTTGTTTCGTACACAAATAGTTAACAAAGAGAAAGAATATTATTATGGCCTGGAGAGAATGAGGCACCTGGGTGTGACCAGAGGGTATGGCCGGCTGACTACACTCAGATGTAAGGGAAGACGAACATTTAAACAGATTGTGACCTGTACCATCAGTTCTGGAACTCTGCGCTGGCTGTTGAAGATGGAGGACGGAGCATGCATGGAAATGCCCCGAGTCTGTGATGTCAATTCTTGACTCAAATCAGAGTTAACAAAGGTTGGCAACAGTATACCTACTGTGGTCTTTGGGAATATTAGTGGTGAGGTTTAACACCCACCCACCCTGAACTACAGGTTAACTTCACAACCGTTCAGTGGTGCCACAGTATAACTATGCTACGTGGCATTACTGTTCAACTGGGTTTTCTGGGATTTGTACCTGTCTGATTCTCATCCTTGAGATGTTCATCCTACAGACTGTAAATTTTAATTTTGTACAAATTGATAAACTAGTAGTGAGGCTCCAATCTCTTCTAAGGTGTGGTTCTCATAAAAAAACAATGAGAACATTTAGAAAATTATCAATAGTTCGTTGCATATCCTTTACAGAACCTCGCAGAGCCAACACTAGCTTTTATATTATGTTTTATGGCTGTCTGATTTTACTGAACAATTTTACATTCATTAGCTCTCCGAATAGTCAATGCTCAAAACCACTGTCGAAACCATCGTAAGGCGGTATGCTGCCGAATCATCCACAACTGGGATCAAACTTAACAATCTACCAAGTTAATCAAACCCTAGTACTAGAGGATCATGAAATTGTTAAACTCATTCACTGACTTCAAAGCAATATAGCTGAAGCACATGTCTTATAAACTTATCAATGAAATGATTTTCTAAAGAGTAGTGGCTGGTTTGATCACCAGAGCAAGATTGACTGACATATCGCTTTCGTCTTGGTGACCAGAACTGTTGAAATGGAGGGAGATATGTTAAAGAACCTCATTATGAATAACCGCAAGATGTTAATGGTAGGAATCTGCTAGCTTCCTACCAGTTTCTCCAATATATACCTTTATATTGTTTGCAGTCAATGGCATAAATTAGTTTGCGCATTTCACAAGTGCCTTATTAACATGAAATTAAACCTTCTATCCCCCCCCCCCCGCCCCCCCCCCCCCCCCCACCCAAAAAAAAATTTGGCCCCACAACCACACAATGACACCAGTAGATAAAGGACAGAAGAAAAGAACAAGAATAATTTACCAGGTTAAAAAAAAACAACGGGTGAAACGCTTACATGGCCCAGGGAGGTCAACTTCTGCATGAGGCACTGTCCATCTGCTGGTAGTGGACACAAATGCTGCACTGGACATGTAATGTTTTGGGGCACCCTCAAAGCCACGGATCTCATATGCCCCAGGACCAGGGGAAGGAGGTGTTGCAGGCAGTGCCACTGCAGGAGCAGAGATGCAGAGGTAATGCCTTTTTCTGTTAATGGAGAAAATCAAAATAGCAATGTTGTTAGAATATTCTTACCTTTGTAACATATCAGTAACTATGCATGCATGGGATGGCAAAGGTATAAAATGCCAATAAAACAGCTGTATAAACTATCTACCACAGAGGATGTGTATCAATTGTCTCCCAGAGAGAGAGTGGTATTTACTATCTACCTCAGAGGTCTGTATAAACTATCTACCATAGAGAGGTCTGTATAAACTATCTACCATAGAGAGGTCTATATAAACTATCTACAATAGAGAGGTCTATATAAACTATCTACTATAGAGAGCTCTGTGTAAATTTCTGCCACAGAGAGGTCGGTTTAAACTATCTACCATAGAGAGGTCTGTATAAAATATCTATTACAAAGAGGTCTGTATAAACTATAGACCACAGAGAGCTCTGTGTTAATGTCTGCTACAGCTACCGCAGAGAGGTCTATATAAACTATAAACTATCTGCTAGAGAGAGATTTGTATATACTATCTACCACAGATCTCTTCTGCAGATCTGCAGGTCTATATAAACTATCTACCATAGAGAGCTCTGTGTAAATGTCTGCCACAGAGAGGTCTGTATAAACTATCTACCACAGAGGTATGTATAAAATATCTACCACAGAGAGGTCTGTATAAATAACCTACCCCAGAGAGCTGTGTATAAATAATTTATCAGAGACAGGTCTGTATAAACTATTTACCGGAGAGTTGTTTGTATAAACTATCTACCACAATGATGTCTGTAAACATAAAAATAATTATTTATTTTCAAAATTATTTTAAATGAAACTTACGGGAAAATGAGCTTTGAAGGATAATCAATTGGTGCGTTTGGACTGTAGGCACCTGGCCCTGGAGTCTGAAAATAAAAGGCAAAGCTACTGAGAAAATCTGGAGTCTGAATAACACATTGTATTTTGTTTGTAAAAATACAAATGTATATTATATACTTTTCTGAGAGATCGAATTCAACTTGCAGATTTCACTATTCCCGATCAGCAAACCTTTCACCAATTGCTGTTTCCCTTTATGTGACCACAGAATACCTCTTTGTGTGACCGAAGGATATCTCTTTATATGACCAAGATATCTCTTTATATGACCAAGATATCTCTTTATATGACCAAAAGAGATCTATTTATATGACCAAGATATCTCTTTATATGACCAAGATATCTCTTTATATGACCAAGATATTTCTTTATATGACCAAAAGAGATCTATTTATATGACCAAGATATCTCTTTAAATGACTAAAGGATATCTCTTTATATGACTAAAGGATATCTCTTTATATGACTAAAGGATATCTCTTTATATGACTAAAGGATATCTCTTTATATGACTAAAGGATATCTCTTTATATGAATAAAGAATGCCTCCTAATATAACTAAAGGAAATCTATATAACTAAATTATCTTGTTTACCTTGATATATTCAAGTGTTTTCTTATATTCAAGATTTTGAAGAGTTTTGCCCCCTTTGCTTCCACTGCTATAATATTCTCTGTACTTGCATACGTTACCATAATTTCAGAACTTCAGTGTTATCCCCACGTAGTTTATTGCTTTCATAAAATTGCAAATGTCTTCCAGCAATTTGCGAGCATTTTATAAGCTACTTACTGCATTTGTATATACATATATACCTATAAAGACATTGGGAGTCGCCATGGGGGAAGCAGCCAGATGCTCGCCTGCGGATCGGAAGGTTGTTGGTTCGCTCCCTGGCGGAGCCAGACTTTTTACAAATGACCGTAGCTACCAGGTCGACTTGCGTGGGTACTGGCTGCAGTGCTGGGAAGTAAAGGCAGCTGGCATGATGCTGACGACATCACCCATCTTGTGCCGATTGGTCTATAAAATATAGGTCTAGCCCTATATGCCCTATACGCCTAAAGGCGTGGAAATTGGTCCTCTAATTATTTTTTTTTTTTACTTATAAAGACATTCCAAAAGTCCTCCTTCAAATTCCAAGTGGCCATTTTTTCAAAAAGCTACTCACAGCATCAGAGTCTGGTTGCATCTGGCGCTTGGACATGGATTTGAAACTGGAAAACGGAACTTTGACACTGTCACGTAGCAAGGTGTCATTTACTTCATACTGACCTGCATAACAGCATTGATAACACAGAGATATTGACATAATAACCTGCAAGTGATTATTGGTAACATAGAAGATACTGAGATAATGACCTGCAAGTAGTTATTGTTAACACTGAGATACTGACATAATGATCTGCAAGTAATTATTGGTAACACAGAGATACTGACATATTGATCTGCAAGTAATTATTGGTAACACAATGATACTAACACAAAGCCCTGCAAGTAATTATTGGTAACAGAAGAAACTGACATAATGACCTGCAAGTAATTATTGGTAACACAGAGATACTGATATAATGACCAGCAAGTAATTATTGGTAACACAGAAGATACTGACATAATGATTTTAAGTAATTATTGACTACACAGAGATACTGACATAATGATCTGCAAGTAATTATTGGTAACACAGAAGATACTGACATAATGATTTTAAGTAATTATTGACTACACAGAGATACTGACATAATGATCTGTAAGTAATTATTGGTAACACAGAGATACTAACAAAATGACCTGCAAGTAATTATTGGTAACACAGAAGATACTGACATAATGATTTTAAGTAATTATTGACTACACAGAGATACTGACATAATGATCTGTAAGTAATTATTGGTAACACAGAAGATACTGACATAATGCCCTGCAAGTAATTATTGGTAACACAGAGATACTAACAAAATGACCTGCAAGTAATAACTAGTAAGAAAAGCTACCATACAGAAGGATATCCAGGTCTACCTAGGCGAATACAATAAAAACTAATTTTTATTTTAGCTATCAGTGTCAAACATAAACCCTTACGTCAACTACTCATTGCAAAAATAATTACAACAGATCTCCATATGGGTTCTGGGGCCTCGTCATTTTTGTGGGGGGGGGGGGGGGGGGGGGAATAGACCCACACCCCCCAACAGCATGTAAAGTCGACTCACTGGGGTGTTTTCTTCAGAGTCACAGTGCATCTGCTTAACAGGCAAAGAACCAACAGTCTGCATACAGAATAACCAAATCTGTTAAATGGTTGCACATGCAAAACTCAAGTACTCAAGTCCAGAAAAGGACAAACAACCATAATTTTCTGCTGGAGTTTACAGCTAGTGAGTGCTAAGAAGATAACAACAGAGGTGATATGTCTAAGACGAACTGCTGGAATAACAAGCAAAGGAAATCAGAAGAAGACAGGACTGAAATCAGTCACACAGTTTATTACAGAGCAACAGATGAGATAGTTTGGCCATCCGACGAGGATGCCCTAGTACAGAGAGTCACACCAAAGAAATATAACAAAGGCAGAGCAAGGGAAGACCAAAGAAAAAAATGTGCTCGATGGCATCAATCTTCTTTTTCTTCTTACTTCCTCTTTTACCGCTTCGCGTGTCGAAGGAGATATAAAGTTCTGCTTTGTGCTTTTCTAGCTGCATCAAACAAAAACACATTGTGGTACTGTAGAGTTTCTCTGATGTTATTCTTCCAACCTGTTTTTGGTCTACCTCTTGCTCTATGCCCCTCTCCTCTTTTGGTATATGTCTTAAATGGTATAGCATCAGAAGGCATTCTTTCCAAGTGGGCAAACCATTTGATTTGCTGACTTTCTATGTAATGTGAAATTAGATCTGTGCCGACCTTTATCTCGTATGACCTCATTCCTGATTTTATTTCTTCTGGTCACTCCTACAGCCTTTCTCAGACACCTCATTTCCATGGTTACTAATCAATAACCAAGAATGAAGGTTAACTTATGCAACACACAGGAAAGGGCATACCAGGTATCCTTACATCTCCTCCTCCTCCTCTCCCCCCCCCCCCTTTCCCAGCACTTCAGTGATGTAACTGAAGGAAGAGAAGAAGATGAAGATCTGACAGATCTACAAGTTATTATTGATAACATAAAGTTACTGACACACAGTGACCTGAAAGTAATTTTGGGAAACACAAAGTTACTGATATAGTGTCCTTGAAAGTAATTTTTGGCACCATAAAGTTACTAACATATTGTCTGGCAGTGAATATTGGTATTATGCATTAGAAGCAGACCTCCCCCCTACCCTCACTTTTCCCCCAAAATGATTGATAAATCTGAAATCAAACTCTGAGAAGAAGACTAAAAACTACACATGTCAGAAATAAACTCTCAGAAGAAGACAGGCAATGATATATTTGCTATAAAACTTGTTACCGATAGAAGGCCAGAAGATACAGATCCACCAGAAAAAATTGGGTAGCTGCCATGGTGGAGTGGCTAGATGCTCAGCTGCAGATCCAAAGATTGTGGGTTCAAATCTGCATCGAGCCTGATTTTTTTTTTTTTAAACAAATGACCTAGATCAACCCAGCCTTAAATGGGTACCATGTAAAGTCCTGGGAAGCAAAAGCAGCCAGCGTGATGCTGACCACATCACCCACCAAGTGCCATTTGGTCCAAACATACAAGTCTAACACTATACACCCAGTACACCAAAATGCATAGGAAAGGGCCCTTTACTTTTTTACCAGAAAACATTACAAAGGCTCTTTCACCTGGGGCAGGATTTCCCTTCTGGTCTGACACCTCTGCCAGGTCTCTTTTCGATCTTGACTTAAATGCGGCATTGGCTGTAACGTTATTTGACTTTCCACCTTTGTAAGTTAATACCTGTAAGAACATAAGGAGAATTTGATGATAACAGAGAAAAGAACGGGGAGAAAAAATAAACAAAAAAAACAGGACACAGTTTACGGGCTCATTTCCTTGTATGTGGCTAAGTGCATACTGTGAATCATTTAAGTGAAATACAAATATCAAACACGCTGAAACGTAACTGCTTGTTTTACCAGCGTAAAAACAAGTTAACCTTTTCTTCGTCTACATAAAACTGGAGAAGCATGGCTGATATAAGCTTCTTCAGCAAAATTGAAGCAATAAATTGTGCAATTTGTTGTTTGTCTTACCTGAGCAAATCTCTTCTTTTCTAAACGTTCATTGGCTGTAAACTGTGGTAGAAAGTTCCGGTCATTTGTCTACTTCTGGACTTTGATCATGTTCCATAATTTGAGTTTTGCATGTGCATCTATTTTACAGATCTGGCTTCCTGTATGCAGATCGTTGGTTCCTTATCTCTCAGGCAGATCTAATCCAACTTTGAAGAAAACAACCCTAACTAGTTATCTTTTACCCCTAATGTGTCGCCTTTTAACTAAAATTGAAGGGACCAGGCCACCATCTTCAGACTCAGAATACAACATATTGCACTCAATGGACATCTGAAGAGAATACAACACAACACTCCCCAGAGTGCCAGCTGTGTAACTACCCCTACGAAACTGTTGACCATAATTTCTTTAAGTGTCCAAAACTCAGCGAGACCAGACAAGTGGAACACCTTGTACGGAGGAAAAGAACAGCTTGTGAAAACATGTAAATTCCACTACATGGCATAGGGCCAAAAGGCGAAAACCCATGCGCCATTGGATCGACAACAACAACAATAACAAAATTGAAGGTAAAGGGATTGTTAAAGTGAGGACGTCCAAAAGAAACCCTGAAACTAATGTTGATAAGAGAAGCCAAAGGTGCTGGAGTGGATTCCATCCATGATATTGAAAGGACTGCACAAGATAGAATGGAATGGAGGAATAGACTGTCAGATCTATGTGACATGTAATGGCATTGCAGGATAGAATGAAATAGAGGAATAGACTGTGAGATCTATGTGACATGTAATGGCATTACAGGATAGAATGGAATAGAGGAATAGACTGTGAGATCTATGTGACATATAATGGCATTACAGGATAGAATGGAATAGAGGAATAGACTGTCAGATCTATGTGACATATAATGGCATTACAGGATAGAATGGAATGGAGGAAAATGTGAGATCTGTGTGACATATAATGGCACCACATGACAATGACAAGGAGAGTTCTTTTTTAAATAATAATTCTCTAAATTCCTCAAACAGCCCAAAAGAGCAATCTAAATGTTTTGAAAGGGGCAAAGGCCCAAAGACAATTATCACAAACAATACAAAGAGATAGTCATCAAAAACGGAGTTTTTCTGGCACATCTGTTTTATGGATCAGGTCTATTTGTATGCAGACTGTTGGTTCCTTGCTACCCAGGCAGATATACACTGACTTCAAAGAAAACAACCCAAATTTCCATATTTTACGACATGCCTGTTAAGGGGACAGTAGATCTATTCTTGTTCTCCCCGCCCCCCCCCCTTACCCCCACCTCCCCCCCATCTTCCCACATATATAATTTTCTTAACAAACACATACTTTTTTTTTTAATAAACATATAATTTTCTTCATAAACATACTTTTTTAATAAACATATACTTTTCTTAATAAACATAAACTTTTCTTAATAAACAAACTTTTTTTAACAAACATATACTTTTCTTAACAAACATATACTTCTCTTAACAAACATATACTTTTCTTAATAAACATATTCTTATCTTAATAAACATAAACTTTTCTTAATAAACATAAACTTTTGTTAACAAACATATACTTTCTTAACAAACATATACTTCTCTTAACAAACATATACTTTTCTTAACAAACATATTCTTTTCCTAATAAACATATACTTTTCTTAATAAACATATACTTTTCTTAATAAACATATTTTAAAATCCCGAACAACGCCAGCACAGCAAAAATAAAAAGGAAACTCTTTCTGGTTACCTCATACGCATTAGGAGCAGGCACACCAATTGTTTTCCGACTGGCTTTTGCAATGGGAAGTTGAAAGAGCCTCTCAACTCGACATCTGTTGAAGTCTTTTCGTGTGCTTAGAAGACTAGGCAGGGCATATATGCCTGGTCCAGGAGCACTTGAATCTGAGTAGCGTAACTGCCGTTTTGACTGAGAAAAATATGCAAAACAATGTTTTCTTGTAGTGTTTTTAAATAAAGCGGACACAAACAATACATTGTACAATTTACTGCCAGGCATATTTCGCTGTATCTCGTCAGGTGCATTATTACAGAACTCATCATCATCATTTGTAACAGACTCTGAAAGCATGCTCAGAAAGGTGAAAACAGGGATGCTTCGAGCAGAGTGGCAAGCTTCATGGGAGAGGTCATGGGTAGTGAGCATACTTTGGATCTTTTCTCCAGGCCATGCCGGCATGGTGGGTAATGAACAGGCAGACAGATTAACTGGATCTGCACCACTGGATGGTGAATTGATACATGACAAGGCAGAGTGGTCAAGACCCCTTGGGAACAAGCAACAGAATCAGTTGAGATAGAAGATTATTATGGCCTGGAGAGAATGAGGCATCTGGGTGTAACCAGACTGTGACCAGTACCATCAGTATTGGAACTCTGCGCTGGCTGCTAAAGATGAGGACGGAGCATGCATGGGAATACCCTGAGTGCTGTGGTGTCAATTCTTGACTCAACTCAACTCATCATCAACATCATCAATATCCCGCAACACTGCATGTCATTGGGTCACCAGTTGCTGTTGACTATCTGATCAGATCCCTCCACCTTTGACGGTCAGATATGACAGACCTCATGGCTGCATGCCTATGGCCTGTCCAGTCAGTCAAGTTCTGTATCCAGGTCCATCTTGGTCTGCCTCTTCTTCTCTTTTCCTCCACTGAGCCCTGTAGGATTTTTTCTGGAGATGCCCTTAGATCATTTGCAGGTCCATACCATTGCATTTCCCACTTTTTCACTGTAGCTAAAAAAGGTTCATAGTTGCCAATGTGCTGGATAATTATACTTTGAACCTCGTCATTTGTGATATGGATCCTACCTGTTATGCCAAGAAAGATCACATTTCCAATGCTTGTATCTTCTTTCTAAGTTCAGCTGTTAAGGTCCACGTTTCACAGCCATATGTAAATGTGCTAACAGATTGTGCTCTTAGCAGTTATAGCTCAGTTTTAAATTAAAAGTATTTGGATCTCCATAATATTTGCTGTTTGGCAAGGACTGATGTTGTCTGGGCAATCCTAGACATGATACAGAGTTGCATTAATATATAATGAAGTACACAATGTAATCTTTTCCAGTGAAATACACAAATCACAATTATAAATTAATCGTCAATTTTATAGTTTGAAAGCAACAGAGTAAAAAGTTTGCTTCAGAGAAAGATATATATATATACTCACACACATACACACACAGATACAGATAATCAGTGCCATAATTGAATTGTGTATATATATATTATATATGTGTGTGTGTGTGTGTGTATATATATATATATATATATTTATACATAGATATATATATATATATACATACACATAATATAATTCAATTATGGCACTAATTATCTGTTGTATGCATGGACAACCATGTATTCTTCTTCATCTACCTTCTAGTCTTATATCACTCTTCTTCTTCTTCTTTGCATCCATCGGCTGTAAACTCCGGCGGAAAGTTTTGGTTGTTGGTCCACACGAACATTAGTCTTGTTCCAGAACCTGAGTGTTGTGTGCACATCCATTTTGAAGATCCGTCTTATCTGTATGCAAATTGTTTGTAGCTTTAGGCAGATGTGTTCTGACTACAAAGGAAGCTCCCAGTTAGTTGACTCTTACGGCATGCTTAAAGGAAGATAGTGGGCCTATTGGCTGTTATCCGGTCACACACAAAACATACTGTTACTTTCTTTGAGCTGTTATCAGGACACACACAAAACATACTGTTACTTTCTTTGAGCTGTTATCAGGACACACACAAAACATACTGTTACTTTCTTTCAGCTGTTATCCGGATACACACAAAACATACTGTTAATTTCTTTGAGCTGTTATCAGGACACACACAAAACATACTGTTACTTTCTTTCAGCTGTTATCCGGACACACACAAAACATACTGTTACTTTCTTTCAGCTGTTATCCAGATCTTCTTCTTCTTCTTCGTGTTCACCGGCTGTAAACTCTGGTGGAAAGTTCTGGTTGTTCGTCCACTTCTGGACTGCAGTCCGGTTCCAGAACCTAAGTGTTGCGTGTACATCCGTTTGACAGATCTGACTCCTTTGTATACAGACACATTTCAATTAGGATATTTACCTTTTTTTTTTTTTTAAGTTTCGACGCCATGGACTGAGCCTACCTAAAAAATGATACTGTCCTGTCGAATATACTCCAAACCCTGAATATACTCCAAAAGTCATTGTTCATAAAGCATGCAGTGTTTCGTAAAATCACCTTCAGTTTTGTCCTAGGTCATGCTGGTGTGAAAGACAAAGAGAGAGCAGATGCTCTGGCTGGCAGTGCAACTACAGAAATGAACCCTCTATGGACAGTAGAGACATCCTGCCATTCGAGAGACCAAACCCTGTGTGTGGCTTTCAGTTTTGTGGAAAATTATTTTTCGCTGAATAGACTGCATACCCTGGTGTACCAATAGGAGCGGCGAGACATGGAAACCATGCGGGAGCTACCCGTGATTACATCAACCAGAACAGAATGGAAGTTGTTAGCCTAAAAACACTTGGAGACAAACTCAGGAGGCAATCGGAGCAATTATGGTCATGTCCGATGTGCGATAAAGATGATCTCAAAAATGAACAATGTTCATAAAGTAATAGAAAAATAGATGTTCAGCTTCACCACCCCGCAAGACCCTTTCAACTCATTCTGTGTCCATGTTGATTTCTTCTGATCTCCAGATAAAGCACAGGCCCACAACCAACTCACATCACATCCTCTGTAGACATGTTCATAACTCATTAGATTTTGCAGCTAAGGATGTTTATAGGATGAGGTCACGCCTCACTAGCTCAGTTGGTTAACTCTGACTGCGCGGCGACCGGGTGATGAACTCCTTGTGGCCCGGGGGTAGACAGAAAAGCCACATTTCTCCCCGATTTATGGTATTCATCATGGAATCAAGGCCGAAGGGTTGCCATATCCATAGTACAGAGCCAAATGGTTAACAACTCATGGTTTGTGGATATTAAATAAAAAAAATAGAATGAGGTCACCAGTCTCAGACCAACTCTCTCTAATCACATGCAGGGCTCCCTAGCAAGCATGTTGCAAAAAAGCAACTAATTAGGGGTGTCTCCTTTGAAAGTCAGAGTGTATCTGCCTGAGAGCTAAATTGATTTTTAGCTTTACAACCCTGCAAGAGGAACCAACGGTCTGCACACAAATAAGCCAGAAATTTAAAATGGATTTACACAAAAACTCAAGTTCCGGAACAAGACCTCAAGTCCAGAAGTGGATGAGCACCCAGAACTTTCTGCTGGAGTTTCACCCAAGAACATTAAGAAAAAGAAAAAGACAATCTCTTATGACATGCAAGGTAGATTAAAGTGACTCTTTGCTTCCCACTGCAAGCCATAATAACATACGTGCAGTTAAGAATAATATTTGAAAATAGCTACTACACATGTAAATTTACAAAAATTAATGAACTAAATGGATAACACACTGATGGGCGCTCACTCTCGATGCAAAAGATCCAGTACCCTTTTTAGAGAAGGAAGGACTGGTACTGTTCCCTGCGCCCAGTCTGTTGTAGGTTCCTGGTGAGGGTGACTCTGTCTGCAATTTTTAAAAAAAAAAAGGTTGACCGGTTTTAACTCTTTCAGGCAAAAGCAATGCAACATGTATATTTCTAATATTATGTTTAATCAGGAATTCTAGTGTGCTCTGACAATGTATTTATCTCCTACAGTGGGTGAGAATTTAGCCTCTTAATGTACAGCAGACCTACAAACACTCAAGAGTTGCCAACTGGAAAGATAAGGCTAGTCACAGAGATGAATGGATATCTGCAGCAATAAATCTTAAAGTCTCAGAATGCTGAAGAAGAGGAGAAGGAGGAGCAAAAGATGAAGAGGAGGAAGAAGAAGAAGAAGAAGAAGAGAAGAAAAAAAAAGAAGAAGAAGAATAGCATGAGAAAGAGAATAGGAGGATGAGGAGGAGGAGAAGAAGAATAAAAAGAAGAAGATGAATGACAAACTGATTATAATTCTGATTTATCATTTATTTATATTATTATATTATTTTCAAAAAACTTATATATGTAGTTATATTCACAGTTCCCTTCCTCAGACTGTCTAAGGTCTTTAGTGAAGTAAAAGATACCCAATGAAAATAAAGCAACTGCAGTAGTGGTATTCAGCAAATAAAATATAATAAGTACACTCATTCTTGATATGGAATTCATTATCATGTTGGTTTTTTTTTTTAGGCGGTCGGGGGGGGTGGGGGCATGTATTGAGATTCACCTTTGTGAACATGTCCTGAATGAATGCTTGCATGTAGACGTTTCATATATTCACAAACAGTTTGGTACTGCCATTCATTCTTCCTGGGGCCATTGGTGATGACCTTCTGATTTAAAGAGTTAAAACAATCCAAAAACTCAGGGGTCGTTTAACCACATGACCAACAAGCTGGCACTCAAGGATGCCAGTCACGGTGCTAAGGCAGAAAACATTTTAACTAATTAGTTGTGTATCCTGTACAGGATGTTGCAGAACCAAATTGTGTATCCTGTACAGGATGTTACAGAACCAAGTTGTGTAACCCTTACAGGATGTTGCAGAAGCAAGTTGTGTATCCTGTACAGGATGTTGCAGAAGCAAGTTGTGTATCCTGTACAGGATGTTGCAGAAGCAAGTTGTGTATCCTATACAGGATGTTGCAGAAGCAAGTTGTGTATCTTGTACAGGATGTTGCAGAAGCAAGTTGTGTATCCTATACAGGATGTTGCAGAACCAAGTTGTGTATCCTGTACAGGATGTTGCAGAAGCAAGTTTTGTATCTTGTACAGGATGTTGCAGAAGCAAGTTATGTATCTTGTACAGGATGTTGCAGAAGCAAGTTATGTATCCTATACAGGATGTTGCAGAAGCAAGTTGTGTATCCTGTACAGGATGTTGCAGAACCAAGTTGTGTATCCTTTACAGGATGTTGCAGAACCAAGTTGTGTATCCTTTACAGGATGTTGCAGAACCAAGTTGTGTATCCTGTACAGGATGTTGCAGAACCAAGTTGTGTATCCTTTACAGGATGTTGCAGAACCAAGTTGTGTATCCTTTACAGAAAGTTAAAGAACCAAGTTGTGTATCCTGTACAGGATGTTGCAGAACCAAGTTGTGTATCTTTTACAGGATGTTGCAGAACCAAGTTGTGTTTCCTGTACAGGATGTTGCAGAACCAAGTTGTGTATCTTTTACAGGATGTTGCAGAACCAGGTTGTGTATCCTTTACAAGGTGTTGCAGAACCAGGTTGTGTATCCTGTACAGGATGTTGCAGAACCAAGTTGTGTATCCTTTACAGGATGTTGCAGAACCAAGTTGTGTATCCTTTACAGAAAGTTGAAGAAGCAAGTTGTGTATCCTGTACAGTATGTTGCAGAACCAAGTTGTGTATCTTTTACAGGATGTTGCAGAACCAAGTTGTGTTTCCTGTACAGGATGTTGCAGAACCAAGTTGTGTATCTTTTACAGGATGTTGCAGAACCAGGTTGTGTATCCTTTACAAGGTGTTGCAGAACCAGGTTGTGTATCCTGTACAGGATGTTGCAGAACCAAGTTGTGTATCCTTTACAGGATGTTGCAGAACCAAGTTGTGTATCCTTTACAGAAAGTTAAAGAAGCAAGTTGTGTATCCTGTACAGTATGTTGCAGAACCAAGTTGTGTATCTTTTACAGGATGTTGCAGAACCAAGTTGTGTTTCCTGTACAGGATGTTGCAGAACCAAGTTGTGTATCTTTTACAGGATGTTGCAGAACCAAGTTGTGTATCCTTTACAGGGTGTTGCAGAACCAACCCCAGCATTTTTTTTTTTTTGGCTGTTGTTTTTCTATCCAAATGTTTTGCTTAGTATTTTGCTATTGCTTTCTGCATGGTCAGCTCTCAATACCACTGTCGAAACCAATGCAAGACAAACTGTCCGCAGCTGGGATTGAGCCCGGCATTACGAAGCATGTTCACAAAGCCTATGCCACAGATACTAATACATTTTAACTACATTGATAAAAACTGTTCACTTGTTGACTCACCAAAGAAGAATCATCCTTAAAGCGCTTGGCTTGTGACAAGAAACCTTTTTTGTCAGTATTATCTGTGACCACTGTTTGATATTTGGTAGGGATCGATGCGTTTGCTGCAACCATAGAGTACCCTATACAGCAGTAAAAAATTTAGACTGAATTTTATATGTCACTAACTTTCCTAATTTCTAACATGTTTTACCTATGTACCAGTCCTGACCCATGGGTGTGAGTCATGGGCAATAACAACAGCTCACAGAAGCCAGGTCCAAGTGACAAGAAGGGACAAAGTCCGCAGTCAGACAATACATCGAGATCTTGATACCTAGTCCTTACAAACCCGAGTGGATCAGTCACAGTTACGATGGTTTGGACATGTATGCAGAATGGGAGAAAATCTGCCACCATGGCAGGCATGGGAGGCTAAGAACTAGGGAACCAGACCTCCAGAGCGACCCTGGGTGCGCTGGGAAGACAACACCTGACAGTCCCTAACTGACAGAAGACTGGAATGAAACAAAGCCAGAAAGAAAACTGCTGATAGAGATGTCTGGCGATCTCTCTGGCAAACCTCTGCATTACAAGGTAGAAGAGGAGCGACTAAGTAACTAAGTAAGTTTAATGTTGATCTTATGTTAGATGTAAGGTAAAATAAATGAGCTCATGGTAACTTTAGAGAGAGACATTTGGGCATGCATTAATGACAGCAATGTTTTGTGAAGGACCAGCTAACTGATGATGATGATGATGATGGTGGTGACTTCTTTTTCTGCTGGCACATTGTGGTTTACAGCTAGGTTGCAATATTTGTACCTTTTGGTCCATCACATCTGATTTAAGCAAGTCCTCTGTTAGTTACATTTTAAGATAAGCTTGTTAAAGAGTAATGGCTCAATTGGTGTTTTTTTGTGTGGCCAAAAATCATAAAAACTTTTTTTTTAAGTTTTTACTTCTAGGATTGCAGTTTTTAGGTTTAACATCTCAAAGATGAGAATCAAAGAGGTACATGTTTTAGAAATCCTTTCAACCATACAGCCAAAGAGCACAGTTTTATTGGAATACCACAAAATGGTTATTAAGTAAACCACAGTCTATCGATCAATCGATCAGTCTGTCCCCCTACGGGTTATTACCTAAAGGTTTACCATACCATCTTGAGATTAAAATATCTCAATCTGGGTGGCAGACCATCAAGGTAGATTCAAGATACCCTGCTCAATCTCCAAAGAAGTTATAATAAGAGCACCTGTAATGGGTACATCAGCTAGGTGTCACCTGTACTCCTATGTGGGGAAGAACGACACCTTGAGTCCAGTGCAGGTGGGTCTAATGCTGAGGGTTATTAGTTTGCAATGGTTGGAGCATACAGAGGAAACGACGCATAACAGAGAGATAAAAACTGCATTCACAAAAAAGTTAAATATGAGTTGTCCTGGAGGCAGACCAAAAAGGTGGTGAGGACACAATAATATCATTTCTAAATCTACAGAGACCTACAAACACTTGGAGTCGCCAAATGGAAAGACAAGGCTAGTCACAAAGATGAATTTGCAGCAATGAACCTTAAAGAATAGAAATGCTGAAGAAAAATAAAACGAAAAAGAAAATGAAAAAGAACAATTCTAATTCTTGTTTTTTATATACATATATATATATATATATATATATATATATATATATATATATATATATATATATATATATATATATATATATATATATATATATATATATATATATATATATATATATATATAGGCTCTCCTTTGAATAATGGTCCCAAATGATCTACGCAGAAAGTAAACCTAAACAGAGCCTCATTACGTCCCGCCCTACAAACATTTAAGAGGCGTAGCTCAGAACAAATAATGAATGAAAAGTGTAAGGAAAAGGGCAAAGTCTACTACTTACCAAAAATTAAATCCTTTAAATGTGAAAATTGTGGCACAGAAGTTGCAAATAGTGCGCGAATATCTGTTCTTTCTCGCTGTCCGCCATTACAATTCAGCACGGCTTGTCCGCGATTCTCGTTCCAAGCGAGACATGATCAGTAATGCGCTGTTTAATGTACGCGCATGTCGCCTCGGGACAACTTCAAACCAGCAGCCGCCACGATGGCGCTCCACTATCCCGACCACCCCTTGACCGTGGCGAATGCGAGCACGCTGGTACTTCCAACAAAAGAAGTAGCTCCTCTAAATTGTAGACTTTGTTCCCGGCGACTATAGTGCCACCTCTGAGAGTACCCCCCGCGCCGCTACGCGCAGCGCGGAAGTTGCTAAACTAGATGGCTGGGGCTCACGAGCAAATACATTGGAGGAAGCTGCAGTAGCCAGGGTAGCTGCTGCTCGGGGGATACTCTCGGAGGTGGCAGTATAGTCGGCGAAAAGCGGTCCCGAACTTACACATAACTCTGGCCCTGCTGTAGGATACCGCTATCGGGAGTATTCTCGAGTGTCGCTAATTTTTCTCATCCGTAGTTAATCCTAGTTTTGCCGCCGTTTAATCGTCGTTAAAAAATCCGTTGCGTTTCGCGAAAATGTCGTGCGCAATTATTAATTAATCCTACTTTTGACACCGTTGATTCGCCGCAAAAGAAATGCAAATTTTAGATATGAGTGAGGCTCTGTTTGGGTTCACTTTCTGTGTAGATCATTTGGGACCGTTATTCAAAGACACACTCACACACACACACAATGCTTACATATATAGTTGTGTTTACAGTTCCCTTTCTCAGATTGTCTCAAGTCTTTAATTTAAAAAAGTTTAAAACCAACTGCATTTGTGGTAATTAACAAATAAAATATATAGGTACACTGACTCTGTATATGACGATCATTATTATTATGTTTTCTTTTTTGAGTGGAAGGGAGCGGGGGTGTTCAAGTTCACCTTTGTGTACATGTCCTGAATGAATGTTGGAATGTAGACGTTTCATATATTCACTATCCACAATTTTTACACTATCCGCCATTTTGAAACATTGGCCGACGCACTATGTAATTGTTATTGCGCACGTAAATTGAAGTTCTAAAATAATAATTAAAAGTGTATAATTAAAAGTGTAATACACTAATAAATAACATTTCATTAGGTTTCTATTTATATATGTATTCTTTATTGTAGTTTAAATGTGTTAATAGTTAATTTACAATAAGTAATTTCATAACACATCTGTAGCAGAAAGAGGTGTATTGATATGACAGTTGCCATGGCATTAACTCTTTTATTGCCAGCTTACAGAAGATTAGGCAAAAGACTGAAAACGACAATGGCCAGAAAGTTGCCAAACAGATTAGTTGCGTATCCTTTACATGACTTTCCAGAATCAACATAGCATTTATTGGCTATTGTTGTTTTTCTAGTCAAATTGTATGTTCAGTAGTTTGCCATTGTGACTGAGCGGTCAGCTCTCGGTACCACTGCCTCCGATTATTTTCAACATTTGCACAGTCAAGATCATAGTAAAAGAAATGAGTGGCGGGGAAGGAACTTCCTCATATACTGATGTATATATCGTATCGTATACTGTATTGACCTGCAGTAACAGAGCTAGCATAGTTTCCATATGCCCATATGCACCGAAAACCCGGGAGCTCAGAACTCTCTAGAAAAAAAATATTCCGGGAAAGGAAGGGGGCAACCCCCCACCCCCGGTCCTCAACCCACCGCCCAATCCCATAATTTTGTCAGGGGCCTAAGAAACCCCTGCAACCATTTATATCAATGTTATTCAACTGGCGGCCCGCTAGACAAATCTTGCCCGAGGAGGCCTAACAAGTGACTCACTGATCATCTGCCAGTTGTATGGTATCTTTCTGTGTTGTGACTGGACATAAGACCCGTGACCTATTTTCCAAATGTTAGCCCCTGAGCAAACTTAGTTGAGTAGACCTGATTATATAAATTATCTCTCTTTATTGCTTACTAATTCCTTATATTCGACAGAGAGCGAGAGAGAGAGAGAGAGAGAGAGAGAGAGAGAGAGAGAGAGAGAGCGAGCTCTGTGTTGAGGGGCAGACGAAGTGCATGGGGTTTCATAGCAAAGGCCAATAGACGTCGCCTAGTGCAGCAAAGCCTTGCATTTGTTATCACAACGTCTAGTTTAAGAATAGAGGTGGAGGCAGTCACTGCTGCCTTCCGTTGGCTTGAGAATCAGCTGTACACACATGCCGTGATCGTTAACTGGCTCACAGAGTATGTTGAGAAAGGGGAAAACATGCATGCTTCGTGCAGAGTGGCAAGCATCGTTTCAGAGGTTCCTGGTAGTTAACATCCTTTGGGTATTTTTTCCAGGTCGTGCCGTTGTGTTGGGAAATGAGTAGACAGACAGACTGGCTGGCTCAGTAACACTTGGTAGTGAATTGATGTATGACATAATATATATTTGAGGGCCCTTTGGGAGCGAGTAAACAGTGCGGAGGCGAAGATAGATCATTACGGTCTAAGGAGAATAGCGCTGCGAAGAGTTACCAGGGGATCTAGCCGACACTCAACACTCAGGGGAAGGATGAGACGGATAAACAATCAGACGGTTACTGGTACCCACTGAATTGGATCTCCTTGTTTGCTGCTAAAGAAGGGGACTGGGCAATTATGGGAGTTTCCCAAGTGCTGTGATGTCAATTCTTAGTTCAACGGGGTTTCTTCCCGGGTTATTCTCATCCGCATGGTGGCACTTTGTATCATCGGGTATTTATTGCTTGGTGGATGTCCTAGCTAGTGGGTTTGAATCTCACTCACTCACTCAGCTGGAGCCAAAAAAATGCTTTTCATATTGGGACGGCGTATTGTAATCGAGTTTCTTTCACGGAGTGTGCTCTGTTTTTTTTTTTTATTTTATAACGTATCCAGAAACCATGAGTTGTAAACCCTTTCCCATTTGAGCTCTGGGCGTCAGTCATTCAGAATGCAGTCTCTGGAAAAGCAATTACAAAAAAAGAGGACAAACTGTTGGGAACTCTGCAGACCAATAATATAGCACAGAGCCTTCATTTCTGCTCATTTCTTTCTCACGTTTATCTCCATGCATTTATAAGTAAGGGAAATAACCTGCTAAACTGTGTTTGCTTTAGTCTATGGAGTTGTCAGCCTGCTTTTCAATTTAAATGTCGGGTGCATTTTATTAATCAGTTGAACGCAAAAATAAGAAACAGGATAGGGGTTTCTTGAAACAAATAACTCAAAATAGCAGAAATACTTGACATCTTTCCATAATGCCTTGCACAAAAAAGGAAGCGTAATTTCTGCTCTAAATGAGCAGATTTAGTCGAAACCAAACCAGTGGGGTTAATTAACAATATCCAGTTTCGTCCTTTTCAGGACGAAATTTTTTGTCATTTGAAGCCCTACTCTGGCTTTTGCCAGGGGCCGCAATATAGGCAGGCCATAAATATGGCCAAATGTCTGAACGCGGTTTCTGGGACCTCTCCACGGCGATCCTCATCCGCATGGTGGCACTTTGTGTCATCGGGTGTTTATCGCTTGTGTGATGTCCTGTGGGGTAGAAAGTCAGTCAGTCAGTCAGTGGGGTTAATAGTTCGCGTAGAATTTATCGAGGGGAGGTTGTAAGCAGCTTGGCCAGCTGCTACACCTCTTAATGTTCTAAATATATAAAAAGTTAGCGGATGTCCTAGAGATGCCATCTCATAAATACTTTTTTCTATAGTCCATACTTTGTAGCATAGGAAGTCACGTCTAACCACAGCCTTCTGTCTCGTGTACTTGCAATCGCATACGGCACTGGTGATCTTCCATTTTAAGCTGTCAAAAGTCTTCTCTCGTAACCTCCCTCTGCCTCCTCCCGCCTCCTTCATTTTACCCACTGTCACGATTGAGTCTAGTTTTCTCCTTCTCATGACATGACCGAAGAGTGTGGATTGACTCCTTCTGATGTGGGCAATCATTTCTTTTCATGAACCAGTTTCTTTCAAGACATCCTCATTACTCTTTTTATTTGTCTGGGGTACTCTCATCAGTCGTCTATAAAACCACATACCCGCAACTTCTGAATAATCTTTACAGTCCATCAAAAATGTTGAATTAGGAATCGATATCATAGCACTCGGAACAACCCCATGAGCGCCCCGTCCCCATCTTCAACAGCAAGCGAAGAGTTCAGTTCCAATGGTACCAGTAACTGTCTGATTGCATATCTATCTCGCCCTTCCCTCGAGTGTTGAGCGTCGACCAGATCCCCTGGTAACTCCTCGCAGCGCCATTCTCCTCGGACCGTAAGGATCTATTTGCGCTTCCGCACTGTTCACTCACTTCCAGAGAGCAATCACATCTAGCTTGTTCATACGTCAGTTTACCACCAATTGGTGCAGAATCGGCTAGTCTATCTGCATGTTCATTTCCCAACAACATTGCCCATCAAACAATGGATCGAAAACTATTTCTCCCCACAACGCTTAACGAGATAAGTGGAAATTGGTGATGATGATGATGACTTTTTCAACGCTTACATTTTCAGCGACTTCTTTATGTTGTTGAATCAATATCCGTATTATCATTCACACCCACACACCCCATTTTCTCCCCCGCTTAGTTTAGCACTTAAAGCAAACCAACGAAAACACAGCCCGGCTAAAGATTCAGCCAATCATTGCCCTGGGATTTGACAAAACGCGGGGACTTCGCGGTTAACATTCGTTTTCGAAATTTTGGCTTTATTCGTTTGAAGACTGCGCCATTATCTCACTGCAGCGTTCAGTAACAGTTGACTCTGGTGAAACAACCAGCTAGAAAATTATACAGGGACATTGCAGATTGCGCAAAAAAAAATATACAATGCCTTCAGATATACTTCTAAGTGGGAACCAGACAAAAGAATTAGATGGCAAGATACGAACACTCAAAATAACAGATAAGAATGAAGCACCACAGGTACAAATTAAATTATTCAGTAATGAATAAATAAATATATTATTTGTAATTAATAACATAAGTTTAATAATATTCAAATTATCAAAAAGGTAGGTTTTGTTTTAGTTTTAGTTTTATTATTAAAGTAGAAATCATATTTACAAATTACTGTACTAGTGTACTAATACTATTTTTAATTTATGAAATGAGCAATTTTCTTTTTCATTGTTGAAAATAAGGTTCAGTGCAGAGTCTCAGAGTGCTTTGTTGCGCTTTACCTTTTAACTTGTGATTAAAAGAAAATAGTTTCTGTTTTAACTTAAACTTTAACTTAAAGTTTAAGTTAAAACAGAAACTATTTTCTTTTAAGTTTAGTAGCGTAAACAATTATTTCACTTTAACTTCTGTTTTCTGAATTAAGTGGAGATTTAAATTGAAATAGCTGGGATGTTATGTGTTAACACCAAAGTCCTTGGGTCAGTAGACTTCCTGTTGATAGTATGATAGTTTTTAGTAACAGTAAACTGTCTTTTATCATTAACTCTTTCAGAATCATGCAACTTCATCGTTAATCCATAACAGATTTACATTTCAGACAATAGAAAAATGAAATGCCAGCAATGAATCTCAAATGTAACTGGAAGAAACAGAATCAGAAATGACAGTAGTCTCTATATTATAAGCATATGTTTGCGCCCCCCCCCCCCCCCCACCCCCCCAAATTGAAGTCTTAAAATTCAATATGAATATGAATCAGTAAACCAAACTTACATTTCGTTGTTTTAGTTTTGCTCTACTATAGTATTATTGAGTCTTAAACTACATAAAGGCCGATTTTTGCTTGTTAGTTTGTTATTTATTAGTATTATCAGTCTTTAAAACACTTAAATTGTAAATTTCATGTTTTGGCTTTGTCATCCATTCAGTCTGCCTTCTTTTTTATAACCTAGGATTGGTATTACCTCTTTGGGCTATCCTCTGAATAACAGCTGCGTATTATGGCGGCCCCCCTCCCCCCAAAAACCTGACAGGGCCTCACATATAAAATGCGGACTTCTGCAGAGAGTATCCCCCTCGCTGCTACGTGCGGAAGGGGGGGTAAACTAGATTGCTGGGACTCACATGCAGCAGCTACCGCATCTCCTGCAGCTTCCTCTTTTTATTTGCTCGTTAGTCCCAGCCATCTAATTAAGCCAGCTCCGCGCCGCTCGAAGGAAGCCCACATTTGACATGCAATTGAGGCCCTGTCGGGACTTTTTTTTGCCGCCATTATGTGGCTGTTATTTGGAGGATAGCCACTCTTTGAGTCCCAAGAAGCACATCATAGGTTCCTATCTAGAAGCCCAGTAAATGCAAGATGCACAAATTTTAAGTCTCTCTTTACTACCCCTTGGGCCTGTGATGCAAAACCCTCTGGGACTCAAAGAGTTAATAAGACAAAAATATGAAATTTAGTTAAAGCAATACTGATGTGATAGTAGCTATAATATTAGCTATGTATGTATGTATCCTGTTTATCCCTCAAGGTTATAATTGAGACATATAGTTACATGGTATCCATTCTATTTTTTATATATTCATTTATGTGATATGTTCAAGTTAAAAATATTGTCAAAGCAGCCGATGTTGTTTTCAGTTATGTAACAATTTCATTGCTGGCCCACACTTTGTTTTCAGACACATCCTGCTTCCCATACGCCACGCAAACCTCTTGGAACCAGCATTTTACAGGCAAGTAGTACATTGATATCAGTATCCTTTGATTTGTAAAATATTTTAGGTGTTAGTGTTAACATCAAAGTTCTTGTGTCCGCTTATGTCCTTTCGTTTGATTTGTAAAATATTTTAGGTGTTAGTGTTAACATCAAAGTTCTTGTGTCCGCTTATGTCCTTTCGTTTGATTTGTAAAATATTTTAGGTGTTAGTGTTAACATCAAAGTTCTTGTGCCCGCTTATGTCCTTTCGTAGACTTCCTGTTGATAGTTTTAATAAACTGTCTTTTATTATTAACTCTTTCAGGACTATGCAGCATCTTAGTTAATCCATATCAGAAATATGGATTCCTAAACCTCTAATGAACGTAGAATTGTGACAACAGAGATGAAATGCCTTAGAAAAGCTGCAAGAGTTTCAAGCAAAGACAATACGAAATCAGCAAATGCTAGGAATAATTCCAGTCCCACAGGTCATCTAGGAACAACAAATGAAGTAGTTTGAACACCTAACAAGAATGCCCTGGTACTATCTTCCACAGCGAGCCACACTGAAACGTTAAACGGGTATAGAGTGAGAGGAAGACCTCAGAAAACTATAGAGTGATAGCATAAAGAACAGCTTTGCATAAATGAAAATCAGTCTTGATAGTGCTCTTGACACAGCTCTTAACAAATGTTACATCTCTCCCAACACTTCACAGGGGTACAAAGTGGAAGAGAAGAAGAAATAAAATGTCTACAATGAATAAAGAGACATGATAGAAAAGATAATACTAGGAAAGCAGTTGTGAGCTGGGTCACAGGTTCACACACACAATTTCCCCCCCCCCCCCCCCCCCCCCCCCCAATTTACGACCACCAAACTGGTTAGATGTTAATTTATATTTTTAGCAGTTTAAATTCAAACAGGTTATAAAAACAGTCTGCTGTGCATGGTAGGGTCACACACTCTGATGTCTAGACCCTGTTCTGCTGCAGGCATGTTGCAGGACTTTTTTTTCCCCACCCTATCATTGTAATCTATCTACGGAGGTGTAGCTTTATGAGGCGAGAGTTCTGGCTAAAGTACAGTGACACATTTTTTGTGTTGACCCCAAAGTTCTTGTGTCAACATGTGTTTTCTTTTAACCTTTACTATGCTTTCTACTCCACAAGTAAAGGCTCATATTCCTGCTATTAGCACATTGGACATATGATAGCACACTGTTATAGTTTATCTACCAATCAGCACTCAGTGAATGATGTGGTCCAGCATCAAACTGGCTTTCTTTACTTCCCAGGATGTTGTGTGGTACACATTGTATCAGAAGGCCATGCACTTAGTATGTATAAGATTAGACTCCCCCCATCAAGCTCTCATGGGGATACCGGAAGTGATAGAAAAAACAAGACCAAGAGAGACCCTTTGTCGAACCATTATCAGGGAAGGCTCAGCCATGGACCTAATGAACATCCAAAACCTAAACATGATATGGAGAGCTATGACCTCTGCCGTCTGCGCCGCCTGAGACTCAAGAGGAAAGACAAACTGTTTTATGTTAGTTAGGCTGACATGGGAGCCAATGTCTGTTTCTAAAATAAGACAGATTGACTTCTATCCCCACCACAATGCCTAAGTTCTAGAAGACAAAAATACTTGTGAAGAGTCAGAGAGAGAAAAACATTGTCAGCAGTAAGATATATTTATAGATGCACACATAGAATTTAAGAGAGCAAGAAAACTGGGATTACATTTTACAGGCTCCTTTCAGGAGCTGAAATATTTGATGATCTTGGTTCTTCTTTATGTTCACCGGCTGTAAACTCTGGTGGAACGTTCTGGTTTCTTCACTTCTGATTTTTGTGTGCACATCTGTTTACAGATCTGGCTTTTTTGTATGCAGATTGTTGGTTCTTTGCCTTTCAGGCAGCTGCACGCCAGCTTTGAAAGAAACCCCTAATTAGTCAACTCTTACAGCATGATGTTAGGGAGACGGTGGGTCAGTCCGACCCTTCCCCCATACAGTGAATTCCCAAAACCCACACGAGAAGATCGTGGTACAGGAGTCAATCAAGCCTTATAGTGTTACCAGACTTACCAGATTTCTCTAAAGATAAATAAACAAGATGAACATTCACATCAGAATAATGAGGGGGGGGGGGGGGGCCAGTCCCTTATTTGTAAATAGTACTTTGTTGTGTTTCATCTTTCTTTTAACCTCTTTATAAATACAAAACTGTTCTCTGTTTCAGAATACTTTCCCTGTGGATGATGTCAAAAGTTCCAAAGAGGTAGGAATTACTTAATGTATAATGTATGAATGTGTGTATTATCACCTGATTTTTTTTTTCTTTCATTATACAGTGAATATATAATAAGACCTGTCAATGGATATGCCAGGAATTGTGGTTGGCGGTCATAACATAAACAACCTACTTTATGCTGATGTTGTCTTGATAGCGACAAGTCGGAAAGAATTACAGGCACTGATAGATGATACAGTGGCGGTAGAAAGTGATAAAATGGGCCTTGAATTTTGTGAAGACAGAAGTAATATTGATTTCCAAGAAGTTACTTACTTAGTCGCTCCTCTTCTACCTTGGGGTGTTGAGGTTTGCCAGAGAGATCGCCAGAAGTCTCTATCAGCAGTTTTCTTTCTGGCTTTGTTCCATTCCAGTCGTCTCCAAGAAAAGAATAGTACCTAAATGCATTATAATAAAAGCACAGAAATTTAAGTATCTAGGTACATGGATAACATCCGATAGAAGATGTATCACAGAGATAAAGAACATAATAGGACAAGCTAAAACTGCATTTTATAAAATGGACATTCTGTGCAATAAATCATGTTATGGGAGGTGAGAAAAAGAATCCTCGCATGCTATATAGAATCAGTTTTAACATACGGCTGAGAAACCTGAATAGTTAATAAAGCCTAACAATATCTTGAGGCCTTGGAAATGTGCTTTTACATAAGAATCTTTAGAATTCCTTGGACAGCTAAGAAGAGCAGCAACCCAGATGTTTTGAAAGAGGTGAGTGCTTGAAGACAGCTTATCACAAACATCAGAGAGTCATAATTTTTTTGGTCATGTTATGAGAAGAGGGAAACTGGAACATGTGACCACTGGAAAGAGCTGCAGAAAGAGAGTTAGGGGAAGACAATACAAGAAAATTCTTGACAGCTTTTTTTTCATGGCGGGAGGGGTATCGGCACGTGAACTGATACACGCCAGTCAGCAAGGCACCATGTTTTCAGAATGTAATGTTAATAGTTTATAGAATGTACAAGGAGTGGGTAGCCAGGCTGTTAAAGAGTGTGTGTGTGTATATATATATATATATATTTCAGAGTTAGGGTTAGGGCTTACCCTAACACTGAAACAATTGAAGTTGTTTAGATTCAACTCAAACGGAAGCAAACCTTTTTTAAGGCCATGTTAAGGTCTATTTTAAACAAGATCACTCAGACACCCATCATTCGGAGGAGAGCCTAAGAATTAATTGATTTTTCCTAAGTGTTTTCATTATATGGTCCCCAAATATAAAATAATTGTCTACAGATATGAATTGTTGATAAGGTTGATTGCTTTTCGTGTTTACATCTTTTCTGAACATATGTATTCACTGTTTCCTGTTTGGCACAGGAAGCAACAGATGTGGTTTCTGAGACGAATGTTACGAATACCTTGGGCGGCCAGAATAACCAACAACGATTGTTTCAAAGTTGATCTCTATATATAAGAAGGAAACACACACTGTTCTTTTGCCACATCATGAGAAGAGAGGCATTCGATAACATCGTGACAACTGGAAAGATCAGTGAAAAGAGGGGTAGAGGCAGATCAAGATAGATGCTAGATGGGCTGAGATGATGGCATAGAGGGATATCAAGAAAGCCATTCCAGCAACCAGGTATTGTGCTATGTGGAGATGCATAATAAGGCGCATGATGATAATAATGTCTGGCACATTCAATAACTGTTATTATTTTAAGGTTTATTTCACAAGTTTTCTTTTATAACTTTCAGTCAGTAAAGTCGACAGCAGCAGTGAAAGTACTTCAAGAAGAGCCATTACTGAAAGAAAACCCTGGCCGATTTGTTATTTTCCCCATCCAGTACCATGACATCTGGCAGATGTACAAAAAGGCAGAAGCCTCTTTCTGGACAGCGGAAGAAGTGGATTTGTCCAAAGATTTTGATCACTGGGAAAAGCTAAAGCCAGAAGAGAAGCATTTTATCTCTCACGTCCTTGCATTTTTTGCTGCTAGTGATGGAATTGTGAATGAGAATTTGGTAAGTGTAATTCAGCACAAATAAATTGTAATAAGAAAACTCTTACTTTGTAATATTCTTATGTATTATCCTGATAATATTCCTTTAAAAAAATGTAGCTGGCTGGTTGTTTGCCACTCTTTCCATGGGTTGTTAATATATTAATTTGGTACGTTGTTTCCTCAGTGAATATGTTTTATATGTATTAATTTTTTCTCTTTTCTATTGGTTTGGCCAAAGACTGGATCATCCTCAGAGCTAAGAGATTATGAAATTATGCTGGGATCTGGACTCTTACCTGCGGCTTTAATCTGATATATACAAGACAAGTCCCAGTGAGGCTTTATGAGGAAAAAAGGGGGGGGGGGGTGTGATAGATCTGCTACCAAAAATATTGTAAGAGGTGATTAACTGGATATGCTGAAATCAGATGTCTTGACCTGAGAACAGCGTATATCCCCTAGCCTAGATGTAATCCACAAAACTGTACCAACCACCCCTTTAACCAGGCGTCTAAGAGGATCACATGTTACAGATTTTATCTCAGACTCAAGCATAATGGATTCATCCCATGGTGTTACTGTTTGGGGTTTACCCGAAATAAAAAGAATGAGATACCCCACCCCATACTGGGGTAGTAAAGTGGACACCTGGCCTTCTCTTACAAATGCAGACAACTCAGGGCACATGGTGTGCACTAATAACCCCTATAGTTGCCCATGTCCCGCTTCCGAATACGAATGTTGAATTAAGAATCGACATAGCAGTCAAGACACTCCCATAAGCGCTTTATCCCCTTCTTCAGCAGCAAACGAAGAGTTCCAATTCCAGTGGTACCTGTCTGATTGTAGATTGTCTTTTCCCTTGAGCGTCGCTCAGATCGTAATGTTTCAAGGTAAGAAAAGCTACCCTATACATAAAAATATTACAAATAAAAGAAAACTTACACGTGTGTATTCTTGAATGCAGCTATAATGTTATACAGGTATATAACTTAATTTATCAATATTCAAATATTTTCCTATCAAGTTCACAAAGTTTAGGCTTGAAGTGTTTCCCAACTTTTGTGTGTGTGTGCGCGCGCTATACCCCAACTAAACCTTTTTAAAATCCTCATGCCCCCATGTAACATGCATAATACTTTTCACCCCCTACCCCTTCTAACAATTAAATTGCCCCTTCCCCGTGAGGCAAGGACACTACGGTGGGATACACTGGGCTATAAAGTGTTGAAGCAACAAATGCCTCTGACTGAAAGAGTTAATAGTGGTAACATTCTGCCTCTCTTACATTCTCAGGTTGAAAGGTTCAGTAAGGAGGTTCAGGTCACAGAAGCTAGATGCTTCTACGGATTTCAGATTGCCATGGAAAATGTCCATAGTGAGATGTACAGTTTGCTCATCGACACTTACATCAAGGACAAAGTTGAGAGGTAATCATTGGTTCACCTGTTTTAAAAAAAAAAAAAAAGAAACATTTTAGTTTGCCATCACATGTTCCTTCATATATCATCATGTGCCCTGCCAACAGGCATAAATGGTAATGATTGTCACAGCCACAGGTCAAATTATTGCTCTTGTCTCACCCTACCCTTGAGGACCAGTTATCCAGGTATTTACCTCTTTGCCTTCCTCTTGTTTTTTTTTTTTTTTTTTTTTTTTTTTTTTTTTTCAGTCTTGCCAGTCATCACCAAATTCTTATGTAAAAAAAAATTTGATGTTTGCGTGTAATTTTCACAATCACTTTCAGGTTTTCATCAGTCTCGAACAAGAATGTCTTGACTGATTTACTACATTCCACAGTATTTTTTTTTTCATTTTTAGAAAAAATTCTTCGCTGCGACCAGTTTGTGTCCTTATTCTCCATGTCTCACATGCATATAACACAGGTTCTTTAATTACAGCATGTTTTGTAACTTGATAATAATGCTTCAGGTAACTTAATAATGACACATCAGCTTTGCACTGTTTAAAGGCATGGGTAAATACAGCTGTTGTCAAAGTGGATGTAATGTGTGAGCAGATAGTGACAAATCTCTAACATTAACATGATCGCATGACATTGGAGTGAAACACATTGGTGCCGTTTTAGAGGCGAAATAGGAGACATTATAACCAGCTCTTTATAGGAACAATCAGTGGAAATATCTTGGAGTGGCTGCTGCATCGGAGGGCTGAGCACATATGGAAATGCCCAAAGAGCAGTGACATTTATTGTGATAACATAACATAGCTGGTGTGATAGAGGAGATAATGGCTGTGAAGTATTATCTAGGTTAACCACGTCTAGTCCTCTACCCCTACTCCCTTTTGATTTACCGCTGTTTATGCACTAGATAACAATTGATAACTTCTGCCTCAGAGAGTTCCTGTTCAATGCCATTGAGACACTACCCTGTGTGACCAAGAAAGCTGATTGGGCCATGAAATGGATTGGTGACCAAGACGCACCCTTTAGTGAACGAGTGATCGCTTTTGCTGCAGTGGAAGGTATCTTTTTCTCCGGATCATTTGCTGCCATTTTCTGGTTGAAGAAGAGAGGTATCATGCCAGGACTTACCTTCAGCAATGAGCTGATCAGTCGAGATGAGGTAGGTTATGCTTAGGTTATTTTACTACCAGTAACAGTCCCATAATACCACATGTTGTCGATGGGTCACTAGTTGTAGTTGACCATCTGATTCTACCTATTTTATTATTACATATTAGAAGATGTATGAATGAAATCATATATAAAAGGAGTCATGATGGATGTGCAGAAGGTTATGCACACCCAGTTCTACAGTCACGAATATAGTGCTAGATAAATATTTTTATAAGACCAATTGGCACTTAATGGGTCACGTGGCCAATATCACATCGGCTAACTTTGCTTTCCATAACATTTCTTTATACTCATTTTAAGCTGGCAGCTTATATAGTTTATTAAAAATCCACTTGAAGCAGAATCAAACCCATGTACACATGTGGACTGGCACCATTAACAGCAGATGACATTCTTTAAGACTCCCAATTACATTTCCAGACACAACTTCTGGCAAAGAAAAACACTGGTGGGAAGCCAGACTTTAAGGGCCGCTAAGTGAATTACAAAATACAGTGAAGTTCATACTATAGACATTGCAGATATAGATAATTTATTTCAAGCTTTAAAAAAAAAAATCGAAGATTTTGGGCTTAGCTAGCATACATTGAACTACTGCACCACCAGAGTTATTTTGCTTGTCTTCCAACTGCTATTCCCAACCACCATTCTATCATGTATTTTTTTTTTTTTTTTTTCAAAAATATTAACAGGGTCTGCACTGCGATTTTGCCTGTCTGATGTTCAAGCACCTTTTGAACAAGCCATCACACGAGCGCGTGTACAATATTATAAGAGACGCTGTCATGATTGAGCAGGAGTTTCTCACAGATGCTCTCCCTTGTAATCTAATTGGCATGAACTGTGACCTGATGAAGATCTACATTGAGTTTGTGGCGGACAGGCTTCTTGTTGAACTTGGATGTGAAAAGGTAAGTCTACACATAGTTTCTGTCACTTTGATTAGAGTTAACTGTTTGATTCCCGCACAGTTGTACTTTAATTTGTTTTGGTTTTAAAAGGCATCAACATATTAAGTTCTTGTGTCTAAACGGGTTAAATAATAAAACCATATGACAGGAAGGGTAAGAGTGGCTTCATGTAGTCCTCTAATCTAGTAGCCACCCTAAGGTACGGTACTTCTACTGACTGTTCCTGTGAGAAGTGGTCAGTGTCTCCCATCTGTCTTGACCACAGAAGATGTCATGGGCGTGATTCATTCAGAGATCATGTTAGCATCAGAGACTTTCTGTTACCCCCCCACCCCCCAGCAAGCATTAAAAGGCGATTAATTAGAGGCATTGAGAGTGAAGGAACCAACAGTCTGCATACTTTAACAAAAATCTATCTGTAAAATGGAGCTCAAGTGCTCAAACAATACCAAAGTCCAGGAGTGGATGAACAACGAGAACTTCCTGCAGAAGCTTACAGAGAACACTAAGAAAAATAAGATATACATAGTGCTGATGTTAGAATGTCCTGGAATCCAGTCAGAGGAATACAAGCTGATCAGAAAAACCACAGGGATCAGAGAATAAGGTGAGGAAAGATGTCGGATGAGCAGCAGCACAAGATGGCAAAGGATAGGGTGACTTGGTTGGTGTTAGTTGGTTGAAGGCCTATGCTCGCCCGGCTCTCTAGCATAGTTGGCTAGATTATGCGCGGTGACCGGGCACGAACTCCTTGTGGTCCAGGTTCACTCCCAGGGGTAGGCAGAAAGGCCACATTTCTCCCAGATTTACTGTATTTACAATGGAATCAAGGCCAAAAGGTTGCGATATCCATAATACAGAGCCCAAGGGTTAACAACTCATGGCTTCTGGATACTAAAACAAACAAGGCCTATGCTCTAGTGGATAAAGGTCAGATGAAAATGCATTGATAATTCTCACTTATTCGATATTTTCCTCATTATGCCATTCATTTCTGCAGATTTACCATGCTGAAAACCCCTTTGACTTCATGGAGCACATATCCTTGGAAGGAAAAACCAACTTCTTCGAGAAAAAGGTCGGGGAATATCAAAAGATGGGGGTCATGAATAAGACATCAGTGAATCATCAGTTTTCCCTCGAGGAAGACTTTTAAATGTTACCATTATTTTAATGGCATGTTGTGCTGTTATTTTATGCTCCAACTGGTGTGGTTTTTATCCTCTTCTTACACCAAAACTGTACTTCCATTGTGATTTTTAATTGTAAATAATGTTATTTATAATAAAAGTGTATGTGGACAATTTGCGGTCTCTCAATATTAAGTGGGATTTAAGTTGAACTAACTAAACATAATTATCAGGAAGCTTGTTCAGCAAGGTCATGTAGCTGCCTAGAAGTACACTAAGCCAGATATTCTCAACATTTTTCAGCAACCCCATTTTATCAAGGCAAAGTGAGATGTGACACGCACACACACCTCCCCCAATAAAAAATAGGCTTTTTAATAGGGTCAATGAAAACAATTAGTGGTGTAGCAAGGCTAGACATTCGGATCGGAAGGTTGCGGATTTGGGTCCTGACTGTACCAGACTTTTCTCTTCAAAACATGACCTTGGCTCCAAAGTCAACCCAACCATTAATGCTTACCAGGCGGAGTCCTGGAAAGTAAAAGCGGCCGCATAATGCTAACCACATCACCCACTGAGTACCGATTGGTCTAAAAGTATAAGTCTAGCCCTATATGTCCAGTGCGACAGGAGGCATAGAAAGGGTTTTTTTACTTTACTTTAAATGAAAACACATGAAAGTTAAGATTTTTCAGTGTAATGTAATTCAAGCCAGTGTTAACTCGCAGCATATTTAATGTCGTGATTGAAATTGTAACTATTTAACAAGCTTACAAATCTGCGGTCCAGTTTTCGTTAATGGCAACTGTGTGTCCCCTTATTAACATTAATCTGTTTCACGTTTTGGTTTTCAATTAAAGCAACATTGAATGCTCTCATGTTGACATTTAGATACGACCGATACACCAGACCTATGCAGTTTAAAAGAAAAAAATCAAGTATGTTGTGTGCCAAGGCTAACCCAATGAATAAATGCCCGATTAGGAAGTGAAGATTGTGAAACCAATCTGTTAAGAGGTCAGAGTTGCTGGGACATCTTTTCCCCTTCTTTTTATTTGTCCGAGTGATGTAATTGCGTTGTGCCTGTTCACAGCTAGGCTGTGATATTTGTGCTTTTTTGGGTTGGCACATCCGTCTTAATCTTGCACCTGAGCTTTGTCAAAAATGTTTGTGAGATATATACGTAAAGGTCAGCATGGGAAAATAGTGCAAAGGTTGGGAAAAATAATAAAAGACTAATGGCGCTTAGCGGGCAACTACGTCAAGCATAACTAGAGATAACTGCTTCTAGTGTACTTGCATGGGCAACAGAACATGCAGTCGTAGTAATGGTATCATATTCCATGGACATACTTTAGAACACAACAGATAGTATCAATCTGTATGGGTAAAAGGCATTCAGATATCAACATAACCACCCTCACTTGTATCTGAAAAGTGGTGAACGTGCTGGCAAGTAATGCACCAGCATATGCAGGATCAAGCATGGAAAGAGCTGATATCAGCAATGCTGAGTGGCGTTGATAATCAAGTCTTCATTCACAAGCATCTTTCTCAAGTACTTTCAGTCTGACCTGTGACAGATGATCCTCCATGTCGAACTGTCTAGAATCTCTCTCGGTCTCCCTCTGCCTCTCTTTCCCTCAAACTTTCCTGATGTACTCGTTTTCTTTTCATAATATGACCAAAAAATGTAGATTGTCTCCTGATGTGGGCAATCAGTTCTCTTCGTGAATCAGTTTCTTTCAAGACACCGTCAGTATTTTCTTTTTTATATGTCCTGGGTATTCTCATCATGCATATAAAACCACATCTCCAGTTTCCAAACAATGTCTGACTAATTGACCAACTGTCTGTGGTTTACTTCTGTATATCAATATAGGATTTTTGTAGCTTTTAAGAATTCTCTATCTCGTCTCAGTTGACAAAGAAACTTATTCATTTTGTAAAATGCTGCTGTTTATGTGGACTAGGCACATGGGTAATGACGATTCTCTGACTTAAACACTACTGTGCAACCTTAGATAAAGAAGTATGTCAATGTTGTCTTTGTTGCCAAGATAGGGGACATTATAACCATCTTCTCATGGGAAATTTTAGGAGAGGTACCTTGGAGGCCAAGGAAATGCCCAATGTGCAGTGATGTCCACTGAAATAATGTAACAAGAATTCTTAAACAACGGAGAATGTTGAAGTGGTTTTCCACAGTTGTCTAATCTTGTGTTACCCCAGTGTGGGTTCCAAAGGCCCCATTGTAAGGGGGGGGGGGGGGGAGACTAGAATAGACCCACTGCTTCCTCAACAAGCATGCTGAAAGAATTAGAGGTTTCCTTTGAAGTCAGAGTGCATCTGCCTGAGGCAAAGAACCAACAGTCTGCATGCAAAAGATATATGTGAAACTCAAGTACTCTAAAATCCAGAGGTGGATGAACTATAACTTTTGCCGGGGAATGTGAAGAAGGGGTTGCTTCAAGTCATCTCTAAAATACTGCTTTGGTATAGAGCTACTTTAAGTGCAAAATTACCTGCTGGATTAGAAGAGTTGTCATGTTAGGGAGCAAAAACTTGACTGATACAAAATCAAATCAGTCCACCAGGCAGGAGCATTGTCAAAGAAAAGCATAACAAGGCTGTACATCTGAGCAGGAATCTTTCTCCTGTGGGTTCCAGGACCCCACTGGAGGGGGGTGAATAGACTCACTGCCCTTCCTAACAGATAGTTCGTTGCATATCCTTTACAGGACGTTGCGGCACCAATTCCAGCATTCTTATTTTTGTATTTTCTCTAGGTAAGTTTACGTCTAGTAGTTTGCCATTGCTTTCGAGATGGTCGGCTTCTCGCTACCATTGTCAAAACCAGCGCAAGGTTTGCAGCTGGGATCCGACCTGACATTATGAAGTGCGTTCACAATACCTACACCACAGACGTCGACCTTCTTAACAAGCATGTCGTAAAAGTACTTATTCCTGTAAATTAGGGGTAGATCCTTCAAAGACAAAGTGCATCTGCCTTAGAATGAGCAATCAACAGTATGCATACAAATAAGCCAGATCTGTAAATCAAATGTGCATGCAACACTCAAGTTCTGGAACATGACTGAAAGCCAAAAGTGGGCAAATAACCAGAACTGGAATTTACAGCCAGTGAATGCTAAGAAGAAGAGAATTATTATGCCAAGACAACACAGTAACAGCCACAAGTATAAGACTACCTAGTTAATAATTATATTTCAATAATATTATGGAGTATTGAACCAACTACTATTTTAGTGCAGCGACGACTGCCATTAGTTTCTCTTAATGGCACCCCACTCCAGGACATGGAGTCGTACACCTATTTGGGCAGTAATGTAGATAAAGATGGAGGAACTGATAGAGATATTAAAATAATAATACAAAAGGCAAGAGGGGCTTTCATAGCACTAGGGAATTTGTGGAGGTCAAAAGAAATACTAAACTAAATTTTTTTAATTCTAATATCAAATCAGTACTATTGTATGGGGCAGAAACATGAACAACTAAGACAATTACTAATAAATTAGACATTCATTAACTGGTGCCTGCGCAGAATAGAGGGAATTAAATGGTATGATAGAATAACTAATGTAGAACTTTGAGAGAGAACTAAACAGGCTCCAGTGGACCAAAAGGTGAGGAAAATACGCTGGCGTTGGATAGGACACACACTGAGAAAACAGAACAGCATAACTAGAATGTCTTTGCATTGGAACCCACAGGGGCATAGGAATAAAGGAAGGCCAAAAAACACATGGAGAAGAGAGCTGGAGAATGAAGTTAGAAAGATGAGGAGAGCTCCATGCAATGCGAAGGATAGAATGAGTTGGTTGAGGGCTTATGCTCCATTGGGGGATAGAAAGGTAGAAGAAAGTGACAGTGAATGCAATATTCTGTGCCAGTTTGGACAAATAAATTATTTATGAGGTGGTTTAAGCTGTTGGCCACCACTCTTGATCGTGGCAATAAAATCTGTCATACTACAATTAAATAGGAACAGCACTTTGCAGTGTGAAAACAATCATTTATGGACTAACAGATAATTCCTACTACAGTTTGCAGTCAATGGGGCACCAGAAGTAGACATACATGTTGAGTCTACAAAATCCATGTTGGAAATCTGTTATTTGTTTTTATTTAAAGTAGTAATCAATGATCATGAGTGCGAAGGTGGCTTATTAGTTCAATATGAGCCTGGAAAGTTCTTGAGCAGTGCAGACAACAGATGGAAGCCACAGTAAGTGTGGAATTAGCAATACAGTTTTTTCTAGTCTGCCTCCGTTTCTCTGCCTGTGCCACCTCCGCTGCCTGGCAACCTGATGCATACACGATGCCTGAGGGATGTACGCCGTCCAGAATAGTCAGGTGCAACAGCCTCCCATGTGTTGATAAAAGAATTGAGAGCAATTTTGTTTAAAATATACATCATCATCAAATTGCAGGTCCTTTATAGAGCGTCGTTCTATTCACGGCATGCCTGAAAATCTTCCTTTCCCTAACCATTTATCCAGCCACATAGGCATTCATAGCCAATATATCTTCAATGTCTCATATCTACTTTCACAGAGGTCAGCCGGCCTCTGTCTCGTTTTTCAGTAACTGGACCCTACATCACAGCTTTCTCTATGTCACTGCCTTTACCATGGCAAAAATACCTCAGCGTACTGTTTATGTGTCAGTTATCCTTTGTGTTCAGATTATGTAGGATGTTTTCTTCTACTTGGTTCACAGTGTTCTGAGAATTTTTCTGTTCAAAAGCTGTGATTATTTCTTCAAAGACTAAGATTCCACTATTCACAACCATAAGATGCCATCGGAAAGATGCATGATTTCACAATTTTACTTCACCTGCTTGCAGGAGCGGTTCCAAAGGTTCTTCATGTAAATCTATTTACAAATTTTCATGCTCGTAATCTGCATGCATTCTCCAATTGTTGTGCTAGGAATCTATATACAGACAAACATTCTCTAATTTCCATGCTAAGAATCTACGCATACAGACCTGGATTTA